TTGGGTGAACACGGGTAAGTTTGTAACACCAGAGGTTCGCCAAAATCATCTTTGTGCGCCATATGACCGAATCTGTGTTAGTTCGCCATAAAATCAAACAAAAAAAGGCAAGAACGTTGTTCTTCTCATTTCTCAGTACACTAGCCTGTCAACAAACACTGTTCTTATACTTACATTTCAGAGGGCCTCTTCCATTCGTGCTTTTCACATAAACAGTTACTGTTATTAATATAATATCACATAAGGAAACGCCAAAGAAGGCATATACTGTCTGGTTTGTTTTCTGTATGTGATTTTTATTCAGATGATATTAATCAAATATATGTTTAAATGCGTAAATATTCATGGACATAATTGACTGTAATCAATTTTAAATGGTTTATCTTATTTGTATGGTTATCTGTACGTGACAGGCAAAACCAAATTATTTTTAGATGTTTAAGTAATTAAACATGACAAAACCCGTGAAATCATATGTAAACGTGTGGGTGTAATGAGGATTACTGAAATATCATAAAACAATATTTTGTAAACTCTTTTTAATACAAAAAGTATGTTAAGGATCATTTTTTCAGGGCATACGATTAACACTGAATAAATATGCTTTTACAAATTCTCTTTTAGCAAGCGAAAACATCAACACACTACACTATGTATTGGGGCGTCCGTGGCCGATTGGTTAAGGTTGATCTGACAATTCCTAAGGAATCAGGAAATTTTAAGATTTTCAATAAAAACAGCAAAAACATATTTTATAGCTGGATATGAAACCCTGAACTATGAATACGCAAAATTGCATCAATCCAAATTGTTCCTTCACAATCATACAGTTTTCTAGAACACTGTTTGAGATGCGGGTGCTTTCTTTGTCACATTATCCAATTTTCAAACATCGTAGTATCAGTTTCCAGTTTTTCAACTCATTGCTGTACAATAAATTTCACCAGTGGTTTAATTTTCGATGAGAAAATTGATATCTTTTGTGATTTGTATACCATTTGATGTTGGTCTGCACCAATAACTTTCATATCATTCAATCACCATGTGTGTGTTTTTTTTCTTCAGAATAATCATTTTTATTGTGCAAAATGACCCAAAATTGCAAAGCTTTGCAACGCATTTCTCATATTTCGGGCTGAGTATCGCACAAATATGGATTTTCAGTTTAATTCTACGAAACTTTATCCTGTGCAGAGTTTTCAATTGTAAATGCTCCACTTGAGCTATGGGCAAAACAAAATAAGTTATGTTTTTAAGCTTTTTAATATCGGGGGTGCTCGCTGGAGTTTTTTTTAAAGACACTTCAATGTAGAAAATATGCTTATTTGCATTCTTTTTGGCGGATTTAATTTAACTGATTCCAAAGCATAAGAACCATTGGTACCTTTGCTGATATTTTCATAAGCCAACATTTTTTAATTTACAATAAATGTATAAATATAGAGGAATTGGTCCGTATAGCTGATTTAAGAATTACAATAAACTTCACAATAAAGTGTGTATCGGAAGTGGCGTTTATGATTGCAAATGGTTTTAATAAATTAAATGAAGCATTTCTCAAAGTAAACGTCGTTAAATATATGTATTATTACCACAAATATCTGCCTTTCTACGGCGGTTTAAATGGTACAAATATTTTCAATGATACATGCGTCTTCGAAGTTAAATATTTTGGTATGACGGTTGGAATTTAACTCAAAATTAACTTACTCATTAATATAAATCACTTTAGCACGACGATTAAAATAATACAAGCATCTTCAATGTAAATTGATTTGGTACGACGGTTTTAATAATACATACATCTTCAATCTACGACAATTTAAAATGATACATACATTTTCAATATAAATTACCATTTCCGTAACCATAGCAACTACATTGTCAGTGAAACAATTTAAATGTCGTGAATTACCTCCGAAAATGACCTCTTTCCACAACTTAGTTTAAACAACCTAGCTTTTGACTTTTTAAATTTTAACAGAATCCCACCGATATTCAGTTTTCATTGTTTTTTTGTCATAGCTATATCATTTTTCCCTCCAATGAGAAAAATCAAAACGACGGGAGTATTCTCAATATGGTCCACTAACAACATTCTAAGTATCCTTTGCCTAGCTTTTGTACTTGCGTGACTAACTAGAAATACCCGGAAGCAAGTAAATGAAGATTTTCCCATCTAATCCCCGAGGTACAAACACACTTCACACTTACAAATGGTAATAAATTGGCGTTGATCACGGCAGAGCATAGTAAAACTATAACGGAAAGTGTATTTGAACCCCGGGACTAGAGGGGAAACCCCATATTTGCCAAGTTCCGGATAACTATTCTTGACGTAAAAGTGTGATCTGGACCTTTGAAATGCAGACATTATCCTTGCGCTTGAATTCGTTTCAACGTGTATTTATTTTTAAATACATGCACATCCATGGGCATCAAGATCAATGCATTTTTATAAAAAAAATTCCTTCAAAGTGTACCGGTGACATTTGACCTACTAACCTTGCTTTTGCGTGAAACATCAGCTTGATGTGTAAAACATTTCAAAAGCCATTCATTAAGGATAATGGAGCAGACAGTGTGCAATCTACATTTGAGCACAACACCTCATCATGCCTAACATCTCTGCCAAAACATTTCAAAAGCCATTCATTAGGGCCAATGGAGCAGACAGTGTGCAATCTACATTTGAGCACAACACCTCATCATGCCTAACATCTCTGCCAAAACATTTCAAAAGCCATTTATTAGGGCCAGTGGAGCAGACAGTGTGCAATCTACATTTGAGGACAACACCTCATCATGCCTAACATCTCTGCCAAAACATTTCAAAAGCCATTCATTAGGGCCAATGGAGCAGACAGTGTGCAATCTACATTTGAGCACAACACCTCATCATGCCTAACATCTCTGCCAAAACATTTCAAAAGCCATTTATTAGGGCCAATGGAGCAGACAGTGTGCAATCTACATTTGAGCACAACACCTCATCATGCCCAACATCTCTGCCAAAACATTTCAAAAGCCATTTATTAGGGCCAATGGAGCAGACAGTGTGCAATCTACATTTGAGCACAACACCTCATCATGCCCAACATCTTCGAAGCCCCGAGTCTTCTGGCGGCGAAAATCTTTCCATGCGACCAGGAAAGATAAATACGAGATCAGCTGGTACATCAATGATTTTCACTGCTCCCTATTCAATCAGTTCTTTTGAAATTGCCCTTAAATGATCAGTTTTGTCCAAATTAAAACGGAAGTCCATTTAACATACTTTGCGTGGTAGGGATTAAAAACCACCCAGTAGAATGAATTGTTAACCATTTAAGACAAACAGGATTTGAATTTTGACCTCCAAAAAACTTGACCTTGAAGGTGCGGACCCTAGTCTTGCATGTGACACGAAGTCCGACAGTGGTGAAGACATGTGCCAAACACTGACAATTCATCAGAAAGTTATATGCTGGACAAGATTCGACCTTTGACCTTTTAAGTATAACCTTGACTTTGAAAGTGCGGACATGCGTCTTGCACAAGTACAAATGTATGGTGATCAAGGGTACCAATTTCTTTTGAAGAAGTTATGGACGGGACATAAACTCCAGCTGTACAAAGTGTTTGATAGAACGTTACGTGTGACCTTGACCTGTGAGCTTAAGACACACCGTCTTTTTCTAAGTTTCACTGGAATCTCTCGAATACTTTCAGAGTTCATCTTTTGACAAATAAAAAATACAGACCACGTCAAGATTTGAATTAAATCCGTGACAGACCTAGTTGACTGGCGTTGCGCACAATGCATTGTCTTAATGTAGTGATTATTTCAAAATCTTATACCGACATTTAAAATTAAGAACCGTTTAACTGTTAACTCAAAGTGTGATAGGTAGGGCCCGAGTATTGCGCACAACAATCGTCTTATTATAACGGCATTTTCGCCAAGTTATTGCAATATCCGTTTATGTAATGACAGGCATGCACAAGGCACGAAATTTTCCCTCCAGACAAGGTTGACCTGCAATCCCTACGCGTTGACCATTACCTTGTAGGGGTCTAGTTACAGAAAACACCATTGTGAACATTTGTGCAGTTATTTAGAAAATACCTGTATGTATGAAACGGCTACATTTTTATCATATAATGTTGCGTGCTGCCTTGACCTAGGAAGTACTGTTTTGGTTGTTTCGCATGACCATGATATATCTTATTATAGTGGACATTTGTGACAAGAAATTCAAAATGCCTTTACATGGCAGTATTGGACCGGATACCGAGTGTGACTGATAAAACTCAAAAATCAGTATATAAAAATTAAGTGACCTCCAGTGAGGGTCAATATTAACACAAATGGCATGATTTATATCAATACAAGGCGATGCTGTTTCTTAAATATCTTATTTCTGGGCATTGTAGTTTCAAAGACTTAAATGTCTTTTTCCAATATATTGGTCTATGTAAATTAAATGACCCCTTGGCGGGGAAAATACTGACCCTATAGTGCACAATTGGATTCAGTTTTGTGGAGGTCCCTAAGACATTGCTACATACCAAATATCTTAGCTCTGTGCACTTAAGTTTCACACAAGACAAATAGGTTTTCCTTTTTTTTGAAATCTAGTGACCCCAGGGTAGGGCCTTTTTTGAACCTACGTTCTGCACATCGCCTCAAAAGTAACATATGGGAGTAGTTCAAAAGATGTAGAGCCAAAACGAAATTCTAAAATTGTGACCTTGACATGAGGATTGGTCACATTTGGCTCGGCCCAATGTATTATGCTCAACATTTCTGCCAAGAAGTTTTAATTCCATTTCATTGGTTCAACAGATACAGAGCAGACAAAAAATACTAACAATTGGATGAATGAATGGACTGTCAGATGCATAAGAATATACTTAAAACTTCTTTCTTGTGTGCTAAGTTATATTGCATTTGGTGAGGCTAATTCCCTACTCAAAATATATACTATAAGGGATAAAAAACAATGTATAACAACAGGCATGGAAATAAATGGTATTTTTATTAAACAAAATATCAAAACTGAAGTCTTTAGCACAAATTGTGATAAATAAAAATGGATTTAGCTCTGGTTTCCTTATAATGCTTGTCCAATTGTTTATCTCGAGTATATGATGATTTTACTTTTTGCCCTTTTTAGTTGTTTTCTTGGCAGCTTTCTTGGGAGACACCTGAAAAAATAAACACCAAGTTCATAAATGTATAGTGAAACAACTCTATTGAGTTCTGCAATTGGAAACAACATTCTACAAAAGAATGTTATAAGGTATTTACCATGGACGATTAAGGTTTCATAAATTTAATTTCCCATTTCAAGTTTAATACATATCACTGTCTTGCATACTATATATAAATGTAACAAAACATTATTGAAGTCTTTGTGAAATGTTCAACATTCATACCACCTTTACACCTTTTTTCCCCAAAAACTGCAAAATCCTTAGCTACCAGATATGATACAGACAAGAACTAGAAATGTGTGCATAGGACAAGGGTGCCCCCACACCACCGATTTGTCAATCTTATGTCTCTAGGTCAAATTTTTTTTTGGCTACATGTGCCTAAGTTGAAAACTAAAAATCTTTTATTAAGTAAAGGGCAAATACTACAAATACTGAAAAAATCCACAAGAAAACCTCAAGGTGCATAAGTACACATGCTGACCAACATTCTTGTAAACTTTCAGGCCTACAGGTCAAATACTTTTTGAGTTACATGCAACACAAGTTGAATATTGTAAATTATTACTAAGTCAAGGGCAATAACTCTAAAAATACTACAAATATCCACACAAAAATACCCAGGTGCACAACTACACATACTGAAAACATTCCTGTACTGTTTCATGACTCTAGGTCAAATACTTTTTTAGTTATGTGTGACACAAGTTGAAAATTGAAAATTTTTACTAATTCAAGGGCAATAACTCTAAAAATACTAAGAATATCCACACAAAAATACCCAGGTACACAACTAAACATGTTGAGCAACATTCCTGTGGGTTTTCAGGACTCTAGGTCAAATAGTTTTTACGTTACATGTGACACAAGTTGAAAATTGCAAATTTTACTAAGTTTAGGGCAATAACTCTAAAAATACTAAATATATCCACATGAAAATACCCAGGTGCACAACTTCACATGCTGATCAACAGCAAATGTGGGGGCACAAAAATGCAGTAAAAGGTCAAAGAGCGACTGAAGAACAATTTTCATATGCATTGCACTCCTTTCTTAAGGATAGATTCACTTAAAAACTGTACTTTAACTAGAACTATCACTAAATGTGATTAATACCCCCACAAGTCTGCTTCGGAAATGAGGATGTTACTAGTAACAGAATACCTTGTAATAGAATTGAAACATAGTGTTCTGGTTGTGGGCAATTAAAGATAATTGTGGTTCATGTATGTTGCATTTCCTTTCAATGGTTGGCCATTGATGAAGTTTAATTGAATTACTCTGTAATAAGTCCAGAAAGACAAAGAAAAAGAACAAAGGGCAATAACTCTATAAATACTGAAGATAGAGTTATAGTTATTGTGCACTGCACTTCCTCTTATTGTGCTTGACCATTGTATGAAGTTGTTTTGAATTCCAACCAGTACGTTTTAAGTTATGCTCCGGACAAGGAAAAGTATCAAAGGGCAGTAACTCTGTATTTTGTCAAAATTGAGTTATGGCTCTTGTGCACTGCACTTCCTTTTAATGTCCTCGACAACTGTATGAAGTTGTACTGAATTCCAAACAGTAGTTTTCAAGTTATGCTCTGGACAAGGAAAAGTAACAAAGGGCAATAACTCTGTAATTAGTCAAGATGGAGTTATGATTCTTGTGCACTGCACTTCCCCTTATTGTGCTTGACCATTGTATGAAGTTGTTTTGAATTCCAACCAGTAGTTTTCAAGTCATGCTCTGGACAAGGAAAAGTAACAAAGGGCAGTAACTCTGTAATTAGTCAAGATGGAGTTATGGTTCTTATGCACTGCACTTCCTCTTAATGTGCTTGACCATTGTATGAAGTTATAATGAATTCCAACAATAACTCTTCAAGTTATGGTCCGGACAAAAGAAAGCAATGGAAAAGTAATAAAGGGCAATAACTCTGTAATTACTTTAGATAGAGTTATGCTTCTTATGCACTGCACTTCCTCTCAATGTGCTTGACCATTGTATGTAGTTATATTGAATTCCAACCATTAGTCTTCAAGTTATGGTCCAGACAAAAAAAGAAGGCAATGGAAAAGCAACAAAGGGCAATAACTCTATCATTACTTTAGATAGAGTTATGGTTCTTGTGCACTGCACTTCCCCTTATTGTGTTTGACAATTGTATGAAGTTGTTTTGAATTCCAACCAGTAGTTTTCAAGTTATGCCATGGACAAGGAAAAGTAACAAAGGGCAATAACTCTGTAATTAGTCAAGATAGAGTTATGTTTCTTACGCACTGCACTTCCTCTCAATGTGCTTGACCATTGTATGTAGTTATATTGAATTCCAACCATTAGTCTTCAAGTTATGCTCCGGACAAGGAAAATGCAACGGACAAAAAAAAAAGCAATGAAAAAGCAACAAAGGGCAATAACTCTAATTACTTTAGATAGAGTTATGGTTCTTGTGCACTGTACTTCCCCTTATTGTGTTTGACAATTGTATGAAGTTGTTTTGAATTCCAACCAGTAGTTTTCAAGTTATGCCCCGGACAAGGAAAAGTAACAAAGGGCAATAACTCTGTAATTAGTCAAGATAGAGTTATGTTTCTTGTGCACTGCACTTCCTCTCAATGTGCTTGACCATTGTATGTAGTTATATTGAATTCCAACCATTAGTTTTCAAGTTATGCTCCGGACAAGGAAAATGCAACGGACGTCTGGACCGACCGACCGACCGACCAACCGACCGACCACAGGGTGACTCCTATATACCCCCCCAAACTTCGTTTTTGGGGGTATAATAATGATTGTAATATATTGACGACTCCAAATTGTGACCTTGACTTTTGTAACAGGGGCCTGAATTTTGTACATGACACATCACCTGACAATGGTTATCTTTTGTGCCAAATAATACTAAACTCCCTCAATGCTTGTAGAGGTTTTATCCGTGTACTAACTTTTCCTTTTACCTGAAAGACTGGACCCTCAACACCAGTTACATGTGCATGACACTCATGCTGCTGCAAGTATAAAATCCTTCCATCTCAATGAAGATATGCTTTAGTCAAAGCTTAAACTGCCTTGACACTGCCTGCCTACAAGGGGTGATATAATTTTATGTCTTGTTTCTTTTTTTTAAAGAGGCCTATAAAAAGTAGGATTTATAAATATTCACTTACCTTAGTTGTTTTTGGTCCAGCTTTCTTTCCTTTTGTGTCCTGAAATAAGATTTGTTTCAGAGTAAGTTTAGTTAAAACATAATTTAAACTGGGTTGTGAAGTAAGCATGGTGCTTATTTAAGCAATTTAGTCCATTTCTAAGTACAAGCAAATATTTCCAAGTTCAGTTTTTAATTTTTTAGATGTAGAAACTCAATCTAAACTGTCAAATATGACACTTTAAATTCAGACCAGAAATGTGTCTTCAAGAAGGATTACTCTGTCAGAAATCATCAAACCATTACCAAATTCAATATCTATATATTAATTTGAGTTGAACATTTACAATTGTTGGGGAGATTACTAACAGAATCAATCTTTTTTTCTTTTTTTTTGAACAGAAACTACTTTTTTTTAAAGTTAAAGGGGAATAACTGTCAAAAATCATTAAACAATGACCTGTGCATTATTTTGACATAGATGTCAAATCCAGATGTCAAATTTGAGTTGAATGTGTACAACTGCTGGGGGTGATAATGAACGAAAACTGAAAATTTCTTATTTTTATCGAAGTTAAAGGGGCAAACTCGGCCAAAAATCATTGAATCATGACCAAATTTGAACTTGACCTGCACTTTACTATGACATATCAATATATTAAATTTGCGTTGAATGTGTGTAATTTGTTGGGGAGATAATGAATGGAAACTGAAAATTTCTTATTTTTTTCAAAGTTTAAGGGGCACAAGTCTGCCAAAATTCATTGAACCATGACCAAATTAAAACTTGATCTGCCTATTCCTTTGACATATCCGTTTGATACTGTTGGCTGCATCACAGTACTGCAACAAATCTGACCTCTAACCATTGACAGTAAGTTCAACAAAAGATAATGACCTATGTGCTTTGATTAATATGTGACCTAGGTTGATATTTCTTTCAGTTACTGCAACATGTCACTTACAGTAGTCACAAGAACCTGGTTATAAAGGACTCTAGTCAATTCTTGCAATAACCTATAGATATAAGGTACATTAGAAAATGTAAATTGGTGTTGCACTGATATCTGGTTAAGTTAAAATTTATTTGCAATACAAAAATGTCCCCTTTATCCAAACTCTTATAGTTGAACATTTAACTTTTCATATAACAATATTCAGGGGAGCTCCAGATTAATATTGTTATATCTGAATATTGTTATATCAGTGTAAGGCAACCAATTTGAAAGCCGAGTGTCTGCAGCAACAGTTATCTTTATAAGCAGTATATTGTTATAAGTGGTCAGTTAACTGTAGTATTATTCTCACTTTAATTTTTAACAAATTTCCAAAGGCCTCATTAGGCCTTAAAAAATGCTATTCTTCAAAAGCTTTTATTTTTCAAAAGCTTTTATTTTGATTTCAAGAAAGTCATTAATTGGGCATAATTATACCCTAGCTATCTTTGCTCTTACATTTTGGCATTTAGTATACATATAATTAAGTATGTTGTCTTGAAGTCAAAATAATAACAATTAGTTTACATAATATTGCATTATTACTTATAAATCATTCATCATTCAATTAACTTACAAATTCAATGTTCATTTTATTGAGGTGTTTAAGCATCTCACATGTAATAAATCTATTATAACATTGTTGGATTGTAGCAAAAATGACAATGCTTGTAATAGACCTACATGCACTTTGATTGCTGTAAGATCTAGTAAGTAAAACAAATGAATGGTGCCCAATTGTCCAGATACTTACACCACAGTAATTAATTTTCTCAACAATTTTGCTGTAAGCTTAATTCACTAATTACCAACCAATCAAGTGTTAATTGTCAATAAGGAGACCACCGCAATGTGAAATGTAACAATGCTACCCTGAAGGTTTTACCCTATATTTGTAACCTGGTCAATGAGCTATTGTTTGAACTAGCTATATAAAGCAGTCAGACAGTGTGTCACCTTGCCAGACAAGACACCTTGTCATCTTCAAGGTCAACATCATTAATTACATCAACAGAGGGAAGAAAACTCTCTTCCAAATATTAATCACTGTGAACAGCTAGATATGTAGCCTTATTGAAGCTCTCAACTAAAATTTACAAAAAATGTCTTGTGGATTAACAGACACTTATTGTCAGTAAAATGACCTATGTGAAGTTTGTTAAGAAAACATTTACATTGAAAGTCATTTGTTTTGTAAAATCTATTGATTTTTCTAAATTTTCAAGTCCCAGGGAGAATTAATTTTACCGATTTTTATCAATGAAATTCCATGGTATTCTAGCTCCAGGTCTTGTGCACCTTGCACTACTAGGCAGAGAATTAACACTGTACAGCTCAACAAACAAATGTCCTTATTCAAACATCAATGAGAAAACATTAAGTTCACATGGCGCTATCTCACAGCTCATCATTGATAAAAGTAAATTCAAACAGTTATGAAGAGCTCTTGTACATATAACAGCCTGAGCTGTCCAAATAGATAATGATAGCCAAATAAGGTCATCACTAGATCACGTTTCCCCATTTATCCAACAAGAGTAAATAAATCAAATTCAATTTAATAATGCTGATGTCGAGCAGTTAAAAGGGAAGTGTTTTAAAATGTATAGGAGGCAATATAAACATTATCATAGTGTCAATTCTACAACGTGGAGGGCCAATGTCTTCAACTTGTTAAGCCTCTTTAAAATAGCATTGGACCACAGCAGATCAGAATAAGTACAACTTCAACTACTAAACTAGCCACTCAAAAATGTCCCTTGCATAATTTTAAATGATAAAAAAAGATCAATAAAGATAATGGAAGTATTATTAAGACATTCAAGTTAGCTAATCCTATATGTTCTTACAAACCCTTATTCTAATTCGGTTATCTACAATTTAAAAAAAAATACTGATTCATAATCTTGATAAAAAAAAAATTATAAATAAACACGAGGTTGATTATAATATCTTCCTGGTATGAAATCTGAGTGGAGGGACCAAACTACTATACAAATCTATATGCAGACCTTCACTATACTAATTATGCAGCTGAATTTCAGCATTTTCATTCTCAAACCTATAAAATAAACAATTATCAGTTTAAAATTAACAATGTACAAATTTAATTCTTTAAACTTAAATAAGTATGTTCATTACTTAAAATTAGGATAATCCATGTCCTTTTTTTTCTATTTAATTAATAGTTGCCGCAATATAAACAGCAATTCATTGAAAAGTAAAATGGCCATAATTCAAAGACACAAAAACAATATTGACCCCTATTTAATAAACATTACAAATCAGATAAAGTGACAAATTTCATTGATCAAATTTTTCACAGCTTAGTGCACTGACAATTCCAATTCCACAAGTTTTTCACAAAGGACTATAACTCCAGATAACACTAAAGAAGATAATCCTTGTATTATCATAGAGTTTATTGGTACAAGACTTCAAGGGGTTTTCTTGCATAACTGATCAAACTATACTAAAGTCTGCTAAACATTATTCCATCTTAAAACTGATGCATTCAAATATGTAGGTCAAATACTGTCAGCCAAAACTATACCAAAGGTGCACATTTAGCAAAAACAGCTGCCAAATATCATGAGTAACAGAGTTTACAATATTATGAGATTTACGACTTCCAATTTATAAAAGAACTAAAATAATTTCCAAACTAGAAATGTGCCGTCATGCCACGGATGCCCCCACATGCAGCCAAACTTTCAAATGATAAAATAATACTTGGTTTCAAATTTGTTTGCACAAACAACTTTTTTTATTAAGTTCGAAGCCCTTCAACTTTTCAATGTTAACATGAACCATTTTTATACAAAGGCCAAGGCCAGGATAGTATTCAGTGTTAACCTTTTGCAAATTGCATATCTGTAGCCAAGATGATGACTATGCATACATTTCCTCGAAAACTGAAAATTAAAAAATTTCCAACGTTCAAGAGAGATAACTTTGTACAAAATCATCGAACCATGACCAAATTCAATCTTGGCCTGCTTATTCCTAAGAAGTATCTATATGTTGAATGCCAGTTGAAAGTGTATAACTGTTGAGGAGATCAGGAAAAGAAATTAAAAGTTTTTTTTTCAAAGTTCAAGAGGGATAACTGTCAGAAATCCTCAAACCACGACAAAATTCAAACTTGACCAGCATATTCCTGTGACATTATCCATATATTAAATTTGAGTTGAATATGTATAACTGTTTGGGAGATAATGAACAGAAACTTCTCTCTAAATTTAAGGGGCATAACTTTGTCAAAAATCATCAAACCATGACCAAATTCAAACTTGACCTGCACATTTCTATGGCATATCCATATCTTAAATTGGAGTTGAATGTGCATAACTGTTGGGGAGATAATGAACAGAAACTGCATTTCACCAAAAGGGGCATAACTGCCAAAAATCATCGAACCATGACCAAATTTGAACTTGACCTGCATTTTCCTATGATATATCCATATGTCAAATTTGAGTTGAATATGTGCAACTGTTACCAAGATAATGAATGGAAACTGATGATGGAAGGACGGAATGATGGAGGGACAGAAGGGCGGAATGGGGTAACATTATATGCCCCAGCCAATTTATAACGCCGGGCATAAAAAATTAAAAACATTTGAGCAATACCATCTAAGTTGCTAAAGGAATCCTCTTGTTCTACATTATACATGTATAATACTACTGGTCTGAACTTTATAAATGAACCACAAATTGAGGAAGTCTTGTTACGGAATATTTCTTCAAAGAAAGACAAACATTATATATCAGATTTCCTTCACGAAACAAAAACTTAAAAATAAATGGCATTAATGGTTCTTTTAACTAATAATCTACCTTAGGGTGAAAGGAACAATGCTTTAAATGTTAACAGTTACCACTAGGTTACACGAGTTACCACTAGCTTACAAGAGTTACCTAACTTGCTTACGACAGTTTCAGTCATCCACGTGCAAGCAATTACTTAACATTTTGATTCCAGATTTATATTTACAGTAGCAACAAATTATTAACTTGCCCATATAAAACCCGCGGAAGTAGAATCAAGAGGACTTTTGGTATTAAAGACTGCTCTATTGTCTACCAAACTGTCATGCAAGGTGTTACACTGAGCTGGCTTATTACACCGATTGTTCTAATTTTCATAGCAACAGGTAAGCAGATGGGTTTTTCTTAACTTGCTTTGAATTGGAAACTGTCCATTAAAAGTTCAAGGGATCTGGAGATCAAAAAACAAAATGAGTTATCATCAGTAAAGAGACCGGTAAGACTTGATGGATAATAACTCTTTGATTATAGGAACTACAAATGGTGCAATTGATCCGCTCTTGTCTGATATTCTTACATTTTAACTATTACTTAAATAGACTCGTTCAGCTTCTATTTTCAGAACTGTCCTTTATTCTTTTGGGGATATCAAACTGAATATTCAAACATAGTCATTAATCATTATAGAGCCTGGTCAGACTGCATTGTACAGGTTGTCCATGCTTTATACTGGTGACAAAGGCTAATTATTTTTGTTTCCATCTCAATAAGGGTTAAAAGTAACAATGATTCCTGAAAAAAATTAATTGTAAGCACATTTTTATGCACAATATCTTTTTCATAGCAGACTAATTTAAAAATTAATTTTAATGATGAAGAGTTACTTCATGCAACATACAAAGGCCGCAGCCTTTACCATTTTTCAAAGAATCTTATGAAAGCTTGGTTGACCACAGTATTTTTTTTAATTGTGTCTATGTACAGTAAATTCTCCGGATATTGTGACATTAAGTGGAAAGGAAACCGCATTATTTTGCAAACAAGAAAATTGTTGATGCCAAGACCTTGAATCTGCACAATTCTGTCTTAAATGTATTTCAACAAACTTCCGTATCTTAAGTGCAGACTGTACAAGCAAAAAGTAAAATTTATTTTTAGCAATTAAGACCTTGACCCCTAAACCAAATAACTCTTTACTCAATCCAAAGTTAGAAACAACCATACAATAGCATCTAACTACTAAATTTATATGAAAGTCATTTAGTTAATAAAGGTTGCCAAAAGTACAGAAGTATGAGGCAGCAACCTCATATGCCCTAATTTATATAATAAAACATTTAAAAGTAAACTTGAGTAAAATTTGTATACCAATAAGTTTCATGACTCTAGGTCAAATACTTTTTGAGTTACGTGCAACACAAAAGTGAACGGACGGACGGATGGAATGACGGACGTACGGACAAGGGTAAATCTAAATGCCCGCCACTAACGTGGGGGCACAAAAATCCTCTGGCTTTGAGACTTATAATTGTGACCTTTCTCTTGCAGACCTGATGCTTCTTTAATCAAGAAATAGACTTGGGTTTTTAGTGGGACATTAGTATGATGGCCAACATTGCCACTTGCAGTAATTTCAAATTCCAACAAGCAATATGACAGAAGCCAAAATTTACACTTGACCACATACCTCAACCTCTTAGCGTAACCTTTATCTGTAAACTAATCAAGCTGCATGCAACACTGACAATGGTCCGTAAACATTTGTAAAGTTATGGTTGAGTGACAAAGATAATTGCAATATGTCCTCTACAAAATCTATGATTCCAGTAGACATTTTTTATGGTACATTGTATAATTATGTAAAAAGTACAGAAGTATGAGGCAGCAACCTCATATGCCCTAATTTATATAATAAAACATTTAAAAGTAAACTTGAGTAAAATTTGTATACCAATAACATTCTTTGAAATAATAAGTAGTCTAAATTTGAAATTAGGAAACAAGCTATGTTCTTTAAATACTTGTGTACAAATTCTAAATCTTAGATCTATTCTATAAATTAAGAAAAAGGGATGATGTTGCATAGCAGGATATGTATGCTGGCTGGTTTATCACATGGTCTTTATTTCCAATAATTAAACATGCTTTTAATTGTCTGAAAATCTTCACTTGTGAATCCAATTATAATACACCCACATCCAAAAAATATATAAATACATTTGAATCAGAAATATTGTTAGCTGATTTTTCTTTCAATTTAATCATTATTTTTATTTTGAGCTCAAGATGGTGCATTAACCAATGTCAAGAACACTTGGTCTTATTTTAAGACAATCTGTTTTAAAAGAAGAGTGCTCTATTATCTACTATGTACATAAATCCAATGTAAATACTTCATAAATTTACCCTCCTTTTATATATGATAAAAATAGAAGTATAGGTTCCAAAACAGTATGTCTCTTGTTTTGAAAACCATTCAATTTTGTTGGAGGGGTCAAGTAGCACAAAGCCATATAACATAGAGTCCTCTTTTCCTACTGTCTCATTTCCATCCAAATTTATTACTGGGGTCTGATTAAACTCAACGACATGTGAAAAATAAGTAGGTTACTTATATTCTGTTTAGGCCAAAACAAGATGAAAAATGAGATTCTTATACCATCCCAATACCATTTCCTTCTCCAGAAACATTCCAAATGTTATTTCCCTGACAAGAAACATTATTTCTAATGTTTCCTTCTCCAGAAACATTTGCAGCCAAACAAATCGGACTGCTGATGCATTTCATATCTTTAGCTGGTACATAGATAAATTACAATAAGCAACTTAGTAAGACTTGTATCAGATGTCCAACTATAGAGATTATAAAGGATATAATACAGAGCTTTGTAATGGATAAAAATCCTCTGGCTTTGAGACTTATAATTGTGACCTTTCTCTTGCAGACCTGATGCTTCTTTAATCAAGAAATAGACTTGGGTTTTTAGTGGGACATTAGTATGATGGCCAACATTGCCACTTGCAGTAATTTCAAATTCCACCAAGCAATATGACAGAAGCCAAAATTTACACTTGACCACATACCTCAACCTCTTAGCGTAACCTTTATCTGTAAACTAATCAAGCTGCATGCAACACTGACAATGGTCCGTAAACATTTGTAAAGTTATGGTTGAGTGACAAAGATATTCGCAATATGTCCTCTACAAAATCTATGATTCCAGTAGACATTTTTTATGGTACATTGTATATGTAATTGTACATTGAAAAAAAAAAATTACATTAAAACAAAAAAGGTGTGATTTAATATATTAATATGTTCACTTTGCAGAAGCAAAAAAATTAAAGTGTATTTTTAAGCTGTCTAATCTTTGTTTTATCAGCACTGTTATCAGAGCCTCAATATAACTTCATGTTGGCCTTTAATTAAACAATTGTTTATAGTTTTACAAGGTACTCAAAGCAAAGTGCCCCCTGAAGTATTGAAAATAAACAACTCCATACCAGCTGACTAAACTTAAATTATCTCGTTTCACTGTTTCTATTCAAAACAATCACAATAGCTTATGATTAAAAGCCAAGTAAAGTAGATATATAAAACTTTTTGAACACTTGCTGTGTTTTAAAGCCAAAAGAGAAAGTGCTGGGGTATAAACTTGTTATTTAAAATGTCATAAACAATGTTGTTTTTACTTGAAAAAAAAGTTGCACGAAAAATCAAAATTTGACTAAGCACTGAAAAGACTGTTTATGTTACTGTGACTTTAAACACTGAGGTGTTAACATTCATCTGTAAAGGGTAATGACTGTCAAAAACCTTTTTTTTTTTAATATTCAAAGTTAAAAAGGGTCATAGCTGCTAAAATATTGCTTTCAGGATAATGCCCCTCATCTAACAACTGCAATGTCAAAATGTATGTTAAAGTATTCAAAATTTCATGCTGGTATCTTCAGATTAGTTTTGACATCATTTTACGATAAGCAATTTTGGAAAAAATTCTAAGATAAAAAGGGTCATAACCTTTTTAAGTATAACTCAGTGATGGCCATTGTTTCACAGCTGTTCCTTGTCATGACAAACAAGTATTACATGTTTAATGTTGATACCTTTCATAGTTTGAGATCATTTTGCTTAAATATGGAATTTTGACAATTCCAAGTTAAAAAGAGGCAGAACTCTAAACAATATAGATTTCAGAACAAGCCCTTTGTCTAACAACTGCATCTGATGGTAATTAGTTCAAGTTTCATGTTGATAACTTTTAAAATGTTTGAATAATAGCTACATTAAAGATTTTGCTCTACTGTGAACACTATTATGATCATACTAATTAAAGTAATATATGTAGCTGGACTTTTTGTTCAAAACAGACATTAGCTAAAAATAGAACAGTATAAATAAAACCAGCTTTTCAGAAACAAGCTACAAATCTTAGAGAATCTATTTCTAGAAGACATTCTTGGAATTCCTGTCCTTTACCTACAAAAAAATGAAATGCTAAATGTTTTCAAATTGCCTTGAATTTCTTTTTTATCCAATGTTCAGGTGTTTTTAGAATGGTTTGTCCTTAAATATTTAACCTTGCTGAAACTTGGAACTTTAAGGTAATAACCTTGATAATAAATAACAGATGTCTACGAATTTCCTTTTTCACCTTACAATTATCTGCTCATTCTCCTTTTAGCTTTCACAATCCTACGCTTTTGGCCCTCCTTCAAAGTAACCACCAGTCTTTTTACCTTTATTTCTTTCCCCTGCAAAGGAAAGGGAACTTTCTTTGCCACTAACTTATTTCAATCTTATGAATTTTGTATGGTTTTCCCAGAAACTCTGAACAAAACACTGATTTATGCAATCACCCTGTGACAAATAAGTCAAAGTTTTCTTTAAAGAACATGTTCTGGAGTAAAATAATGCATTTTTTTTGCATTAAGACAATGTGGCATAAAAAGAAATTCCTCGGCAGGGATAAGAGCAAAGGGAAGCAACTAATGAGATTGCTTAAATTTTGTCAAGACGCAATTATCTTCCTGTTTTAGTAACAAGTGTATGACATGATATTAAGATAAATATTTATTTTCTAATACACTCCCCCGTGAACTGAAAATGAAGCCTGTCACATGCAACAAAATAAAACTAGAATAATTTGATTAACATAATACTTGCCAGACAGATTATCAAGAACCTAGATTGTATGAAATTCAAGAATTTTCTAAGTTCATGAAAGGGAAAATTTAAGTAGCTAAAAAAATGTCCATATGAGTTATAGTTTTTTAACTACAAAGTTTCACAAATATTATAAAATTGTTGTTGAAACTAAAAACAAGAATGATGTTGCATCAAGTGTCAATGACCTTGTCCTAATGATCTAAAAATGGATAAAAGAAAGAAATGGCGGGGCAGCCTTTGTTTACCAAATATCATGAGGCTGTGATCTAACGAAAATTTTCTATAGTTGACCATTTTATAATGTCGAAAATATTGCAAAAATAATATTTAGGTGATTCTGATTATCAGTGTTCCTAGTATATTTACTCATCATAAGACCAGATGGTCGACAGGTAGAAATTCACAATATTATTACCCTACCCATGTACCTGTATATACATTATTTTACTTATGCTGATGTTTCAATCAATAACTAGAAATGTGTCCATAGGACACGGGTGCCCCCACCGCGCCACTGTTCTGTCAATCTTTTTACTAAGTCAAGGGAAATAACTCTACAAATACTGGATAAATCCACATGCGAAACCCCAGGTGCAAATCTAAATATGCTGAGCAACCTGCCCATAAGGTTTAATGACTATGTCAAATCCTTTTTGAGTAACTTGTGACACAAGTTGAAAATTGCAAAAAATTTCTAAGTTTTGGGCAATAACTCTAAAAATACTAAATAAATCCAGAAGAAAATACCTGGTGCACAACTGCACATGCTGATCAATATTCCTGTAAAGTTTCATGACTCTGGGTCAAATACTTTTTGAGTTACGTGCGACACAAGTTGAAAATTGCAAAAATTTTCTAAGTGAAGGGCAATAACTCTAAAAATACTAAATAAATCCAGACGAAAATACCTGGTGCACAACTGCACATGCTGATCAATATTCCTGTAAAGTTTCATGACTCTAGGTCAAATACTTTTTGAGTTACGTGCGACACAAGTTGAAAATTGCAAAATTTTACAAAGTCAAGGGCAATAACTCTGAAAATACTAAAAATATCCAGACGAAAATACCCAGGTGCACAACTACACATGCTGATCAACATTCCTGTAAAGTTTCATGACTCTAGGTCAAATACTTTTTGAGTTACATGCGACACAAGTTAAAAATTGCAATATTTTACTAAGTCAAGGGTAATAACTCTAATAATACTAAAAATATCCAGACGAAAATACCCAGGTGCACAACAACACATGCTGATCAACATTCTTGTAAATATTCATGACTCTAGGTCAAATACTTTTTGAGTTACGTGCGACACAAAAGTGAACGGACGGACGGACAGACAAGGGTAAATCTAAATGCCCGCCACTAACGTGGGGGCACAAAAATAATTTACAGTAACATGTATTTCTAAATCATGCAAATAATTAAAACAAATTATTTCATAACTTTTTACAAGGATATTTTAATGTTTTAAAAAAAAATCGCAAATGCAAATGTCTATTAGCTGTTTCTGCAGTGAACTTTTTACCCTCTATAAAGTGATGCCTTTAAAATTGATCAGGAATTAATAATATTGTTTTTTGTTCCTGGTGTATGTACCGTCCCCTTTCCCTAACTTTTTTCTTCACTGCATTTTGGGATTGGGTTCGGTTTGTCCATAATTTGTATGTCACAGCCCTGAATTTGAGGTTATTATACAATTTGATGCCTGACAAATCAACAAGAACTTGAAACAAACAAAAAATGTGTATTTTTCAAACCTTCTACACTCAATTCTAAATACTCTGTTAATTGTACTTGACACATTATGCATAATGATTGGCACATTGAACAAGCATTACAGTGGATATGGTACATTATAAATGTTTTATGTTTAGTGAAAAAAGGGTGGTTTTATGTGGTTAGGGTTATAACAGGGTGCGCTATAACAGGGTGGCAGTGTACAACTTGTGGGTCTTGCATAGTAACCCGAAATTTTTAATATCAACAACATTTGTAAACATTTAAAGTGAATTATTAACCTTTAGTTGATGTGGATATTATCTTGCATGCAAAAACACTTTTCACGAAGGGCTATAATTCAATTGGTACTAAAATTATGAAAACTACAGTGACCTCTAGATATGGTCTTGACGACTGAACAGTTTAGTGAAGACCTAATCTGTTGTTGTGATTTCCCCAGCTTAGCTCAAGATGGAGAGCATCAAATTTGGGACATCAAATCTAATAGTGTACGTATCTACCAGCAGATTCAAGAAATGTGGGTCAAGGATAATAACAGTTTTCTTAGAGAAGTCAACTGCTTAATGACAGATACACGGACAAAAATCTCATACAAACTTGATAAAATACTTTATAAAAGTTATAATTCTCATTCAAAGACACATTTTATACAGTAAATGTGTTCTATTATAATCAAACAAATTCATTTCCATTTCAAGTAATGGAAATCTACACTGAAATGAAAAGGGACTGTCAAAATAAAACACCACATGCAATGTTTCTCAGTGTAAAAATGTTGAAGCCTTACCTTTGCTCCTTTCTTTTTCTTCCTGCAATAGCAAAAAATATGAATGAAACAAAATACATAAAACCCACTTTTCTTCAGCCTCAGTTTTATTGATTCAATACAGAAAGTTCAATGTCAGAATGTGGCAGAACTGATGCCCCATTGATTAACAAGACCATGAAAATGACAACTTGTACGAGACAAACAATCCTTGTTTCTCATTCTCATTAGGTTGCCAGAAAAGTTTACTTTAAGCTAGTTTTGAAAAGGCCCATTCTACAAGCTAGAATAGTGCCATTTAATAAGTTAAAGGTATATTAATACCTTCACATAAGTGAACCAGTCATATAATATACATCAATATGAGACAAGTCAAACATTTACATCAGAGTATCCGTTAATAATTTACATTGAACCTGAACACACCTGTTCCCAGTGTCACCATGGGTCAAATTACCAGAACTTTTCCCAATGGCAAATATGCTTTATTTTTTCTCAATCTTTAAAAAAAATCCCAGTCAAAACAGAAATTCAGGTTATCTTAACTGACAAACTTGCTGGATCTGTTCATTTCAGTGTGGTATCATACAGAATGATGTTTCCAAATATTTCATTGTAAAATTTAGTGTATTTTTTATGCTTTGACAGAAACTTGCATTGGTTGGAATAAACAATTTTGCACACTTCAAAATACTATGTAAACAAGAATGTCGAACGACACATATACCCCCTTTTCTAGCCATTGACTCACATAATTGGTAATTTTATTACAGAACCTTGCCAAAAATGGGTACATGGAAGTGTTCAATTATGGAAAAATCAACAGAAACCATTTTGACATTTAAGGCCCATGTGATATTGACCTTTGACCTAGTGACCCCAAAATCAAAAGGGGTCATCTACTAGTTATTACAAATCACTATGTGAAATATGAAGACTTTGTGATGAATACTTTTCAAGATAATCAGCGGAAACCATTTTGACATTCAAGGCCCCTGTGACCTTGACCTTTGACCTAGTGACCCCAAAATCAATAGGGGACATCTAGTAGTTATGACCAATCAATGTGCGAAATATGAAGACTTTGTGATACACACTTTTCAAGATAATCCGCGGAAACCATTTCGACATTTAAGGCCCCTATGACCTTGACCTTTGACCTAGTGACCCCAAAATCAATAGGGGTCATCTACTAGTTATGACCAATCACTATGTGAAATATGAAGACTTTGTGATAAATACTTTTCAAGATAATCAGCGGAAACCATTTTGACATTTAAGGCCCCTGTGATCTTGACCTTTGACCTAGTGACCCCAAAATCAATAGGGGTCATCTACTAGTTATGACCAATCACTATGTGAAATATGAAGACTTTGTGATAAATACTTTTCAAGATAATCAGCGGAAACCATTTTGACATTTAAGGCCCCTGTGATCTTGACCTTTGACCTAGTGACCCCAAAATCAATAGGGGTCATCTACTAGTGATGATCAATCACTATGTGAAATATAAAGACTTTGAGATACATACTTTTCAAGATAATCAGCGGAAACCATTTTGACATTTAAAGCCCCTGTGACCTTGACCTTTGACCTAGTGACCCCAAAATCAATAGGGGTCATCTACTAGTGATGACCAATCACTATGTGAAATATGAAGACTTTGTGATACATACTTTTCAAGATAATCAGCGGAAACCATTTTGACATTTAAGGCCCCTGTGACCTTGACCTTTGACCTAGTGACCCCAAAATCAATAGGGGTCATCTACTAGTTATGACCAATCACTGTGTGAAATATGAAGACTTTTTGATACATACTTTTCAAGATAATCAGCTGAAACCATTTTGATATTTAAGGTCCCTGTGACCTTGACCTTTGACCTAGTGACCCCAAAATCAATAGGGGTCATCTACTAGTTATGACCAATCACTATGTGAAATATGAAGACTGTGAAAAATACTTTTCAAGATAATCAGCGGAAACCATGTGGTCTACCGACGGACAGACAGACCGACCGACAGACAGACAGACAGACAGACCAACATTAGCAAAACAATATACCCCCCTCTTCTTCGAAGGGGGGCATAAAAATGCATGAAGGAAGTTTCAAAAGGTACCAAATATTTAGCCTAATTAAGCAATTTTTTGACCCAAAAAATGCCGAAATTGGGCAAGTGATTTTCTCCCAAAATGGTTAGGAAAAGGCTTACTGAATTATACAATACCAAACATTTACCCTTTTTCTGGACTCGATTCCTCATCTTCATCCATGTCATCTTCATCATCATCTTCATCATCATCATCATCATCATCCTGTAAACATACATCATACATTAGTCCCAGATTCTGTTGGATTCACGACAAGTTGATGAAGGCAATATTGGAAAATTTTATTCATATTCAGATTAGGGCAAGGAAAGCAGAATTCTATTCTTTTGAGTAATAACGAAAACAAAGAGGTGCCAAGTGATTCACAGTTTGTACTGAATAACTTGTGTTATTTTTTCAATTAGAATCAGTACACAGTTGTCTGTACACATTTATATGATGCTGTATTTATCTAGATCTAAGCTCAGGTGAGCTTATTGAGGTCAGACATCATCAGAAAAGTATGTCAGTGGAGGATGGGGTCGGGTGTGCCATGAGGAGCTCTTGGAATCACTGATTAATCAATTACCTCATCTTCCATACTGTCATCTGCACTTGACATGCTCTCATCCATCTTGCCTTTCTGTAATATAACACACAGTAAAACACTGAAACTAGGCAACTTCAAGGTAAAAATGCTAAATATTAGCTGTCAATAACAGTGTAGCCTTGTTTGATGAGCAGACTGAAGCTTTGATTACATCGTAGGCATAGTGGCATTCTATCATCACGTTTCACCAATTTAAGTTTTACTGGATATACCTTGAAAATTCTTGAAAAAGCCACCTTTCGGAACATATTAAGGAGTAGGAAAAAAAGTTTCAACTTTAATTTCTTCAGATTTTAGGACAAAATGAAAAGCGATAATTCAAATACAATACTGATTTTTTTTTTTTCATTTTTACAAATAATGATGTTGTCACTACCTAATCACTGGCTTACGCCTACACAATTAATATTCAACTATTCTAATATTAAACAATTCCAAACTCCTCCAATCACCTGAACAAATGTGTGTGCTGCACTTACCTTTGATTTTTTATCACCTGCACCTCCAGCTTTCCTCTTTTTTGATTTCTTGGGGCTCATATCTTCCTCCGTAAGTTCAGACTCCATGGTATCTTCGAGAGCAGACTCATCTTGACTGTTCAACTCATCTGGGGGGAACTCTGCAAAAATTATACATGTTGTAATCATATGCCTTTATCTTTTTTATTCCAATAAAGATATTCCAATAAGGACATAGAAAAAACATTTATTAATCTGAAAACAAGATTAAATGTGTCCTGTACATAATAAGGACATGAATGCTCCCTCATTCAACTGTCTAGTTGGTGTACTGACTACCAGTGTGATGGTCCATCATAGACAACAGCAAATGTATATGCACAACACTATGCATTATATTTATGTCAAATTATGCAACAACCCACTTTGTAGATGTTTCACAATGGACAAGTGTTCTCGTTTTTCTGACCTCTAATGTGTGACCTTTTGACTTTTAACCTAGAGACCTGCTTCATGTGTACAACAAGACATCTAATGCTGGTATCATATGTGTGAAGTAATAATAACATCCCTCAATGAGTGTAGTAGGTAGCTGTGCTCTGGTTAAAATCTTAACAGATCACTGGTGACCTTGAACTTGAATATATTGACCTAAATTACATTGACAATACTCAGTCTAACAATTGTGATTAGACTCTGTAATGAAACTGTCCCTCCCCAACTGCATCAGATTAGTATAATCCAAGGGTCCCTATTGGTATATTTTTTCGTAACAACTGACCTCAGACATTGAGTTTAATGATCCCAGTGATCTCATTGACCTCGAGTTGTTCACCTCAATTGTCATAATTTTCAACAAATAAATCCATCCGAGAAAGACAAGTCATGTACTTTAATGTACAAGTGTAACTGTGACCCTTCAAGTTTGAAACTCAATTCTTGCTTGAAACATGTTGATATATCCAACATGTATATACAATGTTATTTTAAAATCCACTGAGAAATGACAGAAACATAAAAACATCAATGCACTTTTATGAAAAATTCCCTTTGAAATAAAGTATGACCTAAAGCTAATTTTGACCTCAGGACCATAATTTAAATGATCTTGGTACAGGCCTATGTGATGATGTTTATTGCCAAATATTTAAGCTCCAGTCCATGGGCTTCCACAGAAGAATTTTTTTTAAAGGTTTTAAAGACTATTATTATCCATGGAAGGAAAGCCTATTAAGCTGTGGACATGCTTAATTTGGATCTTAAAGATATAATTTGATAACTTTGGTAGAGGATTTCTAGATACTAATGTTCTGTACCACATACCAAATCTCTGGGCAGTTTACTTTTAGACAATCATTCCTGTGTAGTTTGGTTAATATAATGACATTGGTTTCAGAGGAAATCATGTTTTAAAGATTTAACAAACTAGAAATGTGTCCATAGGGCATGGGTGCCCCACACTCCACTGTTTTGTAAATCTTATGACTCTAGGTCAAGTATTTTTTGACTACATGTGCCACAAGTTCAAAAGTAAAAATCTTTTACTAAATTAAAGGCAAAACTTTACAAATACTAAACAAATCCACAAGCAAACTCTGCATAAGTTCACATGATGACCAACATTCTTGTAAACTTTCAGGACTACAGGTCCACTACTTTTTGAGCTATGCATGAATAAAATGAAAATTGCAAATTTATACTAAGTAAAGGGCAATAACTTTAATAAAACTGAAACTAGAAATGTGTCCATAGGACACAGGTACCCCCACACTCCACTGTTTTGTCAATATAATGACTATGTCAAATATATTTTGGGCTACATGTTTACAAGTTTTAAACTAAAACATTTTTACTAAGTAAATGGCAAGAACTTTACAAATACAGAATAAATCCACAAGCAAATCTCAAGGTGCATAAGTACACATGCTGACCAACATTGTTGCCAACTTTCAGGCCTACAGGTCAAATACTTTTTGAGCTATGCATGAACAAGTTGAAAATTTCAAATTTATACAAGTCAAGAGCAATAACTCTAACAAAACTGAAAAAATCCACATGCAAAACCCCAGATGCACAACTTAACATGCTGAGCAACATTCCTAACGTTTTTATAACTCTAGGTCAACTACTTTGAGCTATGTGTGCCACAAGTTGAAAATTGCAAATTTTTACTAAGCCAAGGGCAATAACTCTACAAATACTAAATAAATCCATATGAAAACCCAAGGTGCACAACTACACATGCTGATCAACATTCCTGTAAAGTTTCATGACTCTAAGTCAAATACTTCGAGCTATGTGTGACAGACAGGTTGAAAATTGCAAATATTTACTAAATCAAGAGCAATAACTCTACAAATACAAAATAAATCCACATGAAAATACTCAGGAGCACAATTACACATGCTGAGCAACATTCTTGTAATGTTTCATGGCTCCAGGTCAAATACTTTCTGAGCTATGTGGGACACAAAATGAGAACGAACGGACGAACAGAAAAGAGTAAATCTATTAATGCCCCCCACCCCCACCCCAAAGTGGGGGCACAAAATTTGACAAACCTATAGATGTGTAATTTATACAAGTCATACAAATAGAGCAATTAGGCAAATTTGTGATTGTGTATATTTAGTCAGTCTTTTTGTTAGTTTGTTAATTGGCATGTTTCTTTATGGATGAGTTATTGTTGCATTATTTTCTATCTTAAATGTAGGTTACTTCAAGGAATGTTATTGGTCAATATTAAGTAGAATTTTTTATAGGAACAATCTTGAATATTCAAGTCTTTGTTTGCTATTGCATTATGACCTTGACCTTTGATAAGCACAACACTTAAACCTCTAATCATGGTGTACAGTTGTATCAAGTAATACTGAAATTATCAATGCATACTGCTCTACAAATTATACTGATGCCGAATGTGTTTGCTCATTGGAAGAATGTATATGTAGTAGAGCAGAATAATTCCATTATAAGAGGTCTTTTGGTAATGAAAACTGATGGCTATAGTGATTACAGATTTGAAACCTATGTGAATACTGATGGCTGAAAATAACAAAGTCAATAACTGAAAAATAATGCAGGGTAGGTTATCATTCTTGTGTGCTGCATCCCTCCTCAGTAAAATCTATCCACCTATGAAGTTTCAAGTTGATGCCTCAAATACTTTTTGAGAAAAAAATTGAATTGAAAAATTAAGTATGAAAAATAACAAAGGGCAATAACTCAAAAATTATGCAGGGTAGAGGGGTAGAGTTATCATTCTTGTGCACTGCACACCTCCTGAGTTAGATCTATGCACCTATGAAGTTTCATAATGATATCTCAAAGGCCTTTTGAGTTATGCTCTGGACAAAAATTAATTTTGAAAAATAAAAAAGGGCAATAACTAAACAATTATGCAGGGTAGAGTTATCATTCTTGTGCACTGCACTCTTCCTCAATGAGATCCATCCACCTATGAAGTTTCAAGTTGATACCTCAAATACTTTTTGAGATAAGCTCCGGACAAAATAGTATGAAAAAGAACTAAGGGCAATAACTCAAAAATTGTACAGGGAACAGTTATCATTCTTGTGCACAGCATTCCTCCTCAATAAAATCTATCCAGCTATGACATTTCATGTTGACATCTCAAACACTTTTGAGTTATGCTCCACTCGGGTGAAAAATTAGGTATGAAAAATAACAAAGGGCAATAACTCAAAAATTATGAAAGGTAGAGTTAACATTCTTGTGCATTGCACTCCTCCTTAATGAGATCCATCCACTTATGAAGTTTCAAGTTGATACCTCAAATACTTTTTGAGATAAGCTCTGGACAAAATAGCATGAAAAAGAACAAAGGGCAATAACTCAAAAATTGTATAGGGAAGAGTTATCATTCTTGCGCACAACATTTCTCAATAAGATCTATCCACCTATGACATTTCATGTTGATATCTCAAACACTTTTTGAGTTATGCTCCACTCGGGTGAAAAATTAAGTATGAAAAATAACAAAGGGCAATAACTCAAAAATTATGAAAGGTAGAGTTATCATTCTTGTGCACTGCACACCTCCTGAGTGAGATCTATGCACCTATGAAGTTTCATGTTGATATCTCATAGGCTTTTGGAGTTATGCTCTGGACAAAAATCAATTTTGAAAAATAACAAAGGGCAATAACTCAAAAATTATGCAGGGTAGAGTTATCATTCTTGTGCACTGCACTCCTCTTCAATGAGGTCTATCCACCTATGAAGTTTCAAGTTGATAACTCAAATTCTTTTAGAGATATGCTCCGGACAAAAATGTCGGACAGAAGGACAGACGGACGGACAGACGGAAGGTCGGACGGAGACTATTTCTATATCCCCCACCGCCTTTTTGGCGGGGGATAATTAGCACTTACCAACTAACTGCTGTCCACCAAGAGAAATTGGACCTGAACCTTCCACCAATTTGAAAGTAGCTTTAACCTCATTGCCAAAACTTATATCTAAATTGCACTGAAATAAAAGAAAAATATTTCAATTAAATGATAAATTAGCAAAAATCTTAAATTAAGACACTATTGAGTGGTGATAAAATTAATAGTTTACAGCATCGAACATTTCTGATAATCTCCAACTTTATTAGTGTCATTTTATAAGAATCTGTTCACTGGCTGCCAGTACAGACCGGAATATCTAGCTCGACGGTAACTGTTTACGGCGGTAACGAGGCTCTGCCGAGTTTCCGCTAAACAGTTACCCGAGAGCTAGATATTTCCCCGTCTGTACTGACAGCTGGTGTTTGATTCTTTTTCTTGCATATTATATATCTGTTATTTTCAGAACAGACATTACAATAACTGATATTCTCATTACGCACTTTTTTCTTATAGTAGCGTATGAACTTACAACATCATTCATAACTTTAAAATGACATCTTAAGAATGCAATTCATTCATAAATGGCGCGCGGCAATGACGTCATTTAAAGCACAAGACTTGTCTTACATTGGGGGTGTTAGACAGGTTTTTCTAGCACCGGCGTAAACGGTAGATAATCCTGTCTGATATGCTAGAAATTGTTTGCATCTAGTAGGTATTCAGCTCAGTCCAACAAGAGCACCACATGTGTTTATCGTCTGATAAAAGTTTAAAAGGGGCATAACTCACAATTATGCCACTTGTTTAATAAATACACCTCGTCATTTTTGTTTGATTTGGGTTTTACGTCACACCGACACAGTAGAGGTCATTTGGCAACGTTCCAGCTTTACTGGTGGAGGAAGACCTGAGTAAAACCACCGACATTCCCCAAGCTAGCTGGATAGCTTCCCCACATGAAAGAATCCAAAGCCCTGTTGGGATTCGAACCCACAGTGGTGAGGGGCAAGTGGTTTGAAGTCAACAACCTAAACCACGCGACCACGGGCATCCCGTACCTTGTCATGATAAGCAAGTATTAAAGTAACATGTTTGCATCTTTTAAAAATTTTTAATTGGGCTACATTTTTACACCATGACAATGCTGCAGCCATCAGCTTAGCTTTCTTGCATGCCAAGAACAAGAGCCGGGTTTGAACCGGATGATGCTCCCCGAATAGGTTTTCAACAGGAAAGAACACGTCTTGTAGTTTCAAGAGTGATGTCCCTGGACAAAGTGCAATAATTCCAAAATTAGGCAAGACAGATTTACTGTTCTTTGAAATGGACTTCTAATAAATGAGATCTATCTACCTACAAAGTTTCTTGTTGATATCTCTTATAATTTTAGAGTAATGTCCCGCACAAAGTTCAAAATGTAAAAATGAAAGGGCAATAACTCCAAAATTAGGCAAGGCAGAATTACGGTTCTTGTGCAATGCACATCTATTTATTGATATAATAATATCTATCTACAAAGTTTCATGTTGATATCTCTTGTAATTTTAGAGTTATGTCCCAGACAAGATTTTTCTAAATGGGGAGATAATTCAAAAACAGGGCTAAACAGAGTAATAGTTCTTTTGCACTGCACTTCCTTGCAATGAGATCTATCTACATACAAAGTTTCATGTTAATATCTCTTATAGTCTTAGAGTTGTGTTCCGCATAAAGTTCAAAGTGTAAAAATATACAATGAGCAAAAACTAAAAAATTAGGCAAGGCAGAGCAACAGTTCTTGTGCACCGCAAAATAGAGTGATGGTTCTTTGACACTGCACTCCATCTCAATGCCCGTTACCACTGTGTGAAGTTTAAACAAATTATCTCCAAGGGTTTTCAAGTTATGCTCAAGACAACGGACTGACAGATGGACAAGACAGCAACTATATGCTCTCTCTTCAGGGAGCATAAAAAACCTTTCTTACACTCCCATGTAAGACAAGTCTGCTTTAAATGACATCAGTCCTACTCTTCTTTGTAAATGAATTGCATTCTTGGAATGTCATTTAGCTGATATGAATGATTCATAGTTGCAAATTCATATACTACTATTATTAAGAGGAAAGCGATACATAGAATTTCCGAAAAATGATTGATGTATGCAAGAAATATGTATTGTAAGAAAACAATCATATAGTCTGGCTGCCATAATAGACTAATATCTGTCATATGTTGTGGTTCGGATCGGAATATCTGTCCCGAGGTGACCCGTCTATTGGGCGTAACAAGGCTTGCCAAGATACCGCCCATGGGCAGATTACCGAGGGACGGATATTCCGATCTGAACCGCAAACATGTCAGATATTTTTTCTTGCATATTTTACGATATTACATTATATTTTGAATTCTTTATCTTAATTTTCAATGGAATTTATGTCATTACAACCGTAACTATTTTCGTACAACAGTGTATGAAATTGCAACTTCATTCATAACGGTAAAATTACGTCATCCTAAGCGTGCCATTGTACAGCACGCGACTAATCTGGCACCCCCTATGCCAGATGAAATTTCCGGCATGGGTAAAACTAACAGAAACGCCAGTCTGATATGCAAGAAAGGAATATCTGGCTCTTGTATAACTTTAACATAAACAGAACCTTGTTACACCTTTGAGCTAGATATTCAATTCTGTACTGGCAGAAAGTGCAAGATCCTTATATTCTTTGCAACATTCTGACGAGCTAAAAATCAAGCAGAGTGGTAAGAACTTAAACATTGTGTGATGAGCTGAAGAGTTACCTACCATATCTGACTGGCCTAATGTTAATGATAGTAAAGGCTGTGATATATCAGTTTTGTCAAAGTTTTTGGTTTCTATTTGTACAAGATTTCTTTCTCCTTTAACTGCCGACGCTCCTAGCACAGCATTTTTAAGGAATAAAGTGTGTACAAGGTAATCATTATCCTCGTCTTCCTCCTCAAAAGTCCAGGTGTATGTTGGTTTATCCTTGCTTAACTCCACACCTACAATACACAAATACACAAAATCAGATCCATCAACTTGTTATTCAAACATGCATACACAGTGTTATTTTATGCTTGTCTATCGAGTACAAACGATTTTGGCAAAACTTAAAAAAATATAGCTTTCAGAATTATGCCCCTTGTCTAAACACTGCATCGTGTCATGTTAAGTATCTCAATTTTAAAATGTTTGAATGAATAATTGGATATTCTGACAACTGTCGGAGAATAGATTATTTTGCTCAAAGATGTAGAGCATTGTTACTTTCACCTGTAATCAGTAAGTAGCAATGTTAAAGCTCTTGGCTATGGTAGGATTTTTTCTGATGCATTTGCATGTTTTTGTTTCAAACTAAAAATATTCATCATTACCAAAAAGCACAACACACACATTAAATACAATTAGTTTGGAAAATTTTCAATGACTACAGTATTACACTCAGTCCTGCAGGGGCACAAGGGTATTTAAATTAACAATTAAAAAGAAAATGTAAAAAACAATGATCACTTGTTAAAAATTAAAGCCACTATAGATTTGTATGGGTCCAAAATGAAAAAAATTTCTCATTTCATATACAACTAGAAATGTGTCTTTACGCCACAGATGCCCCCTGCATGCAGCCAAAATTTCAGATGTTAAAAATTCTAGTTCCAAATTTGTTTGTACAAACTATTTTTTTTTCATTTTAAGTTTGCAGTCCTTAAAACTATTCAATGTTAATTAACAAACCATTTTTGATTTTTTTATTTGTAGCCAAAATAATGACTACATACATTTTCACAAAAGTATGAGTGCTGTAACCGAAAATTCGAAATTTTTTCAACATTCAAGAGAGATAACTTTGTCCAAAATCATAGGTCCCTGAACAAATTCAAACTTGAACCGCTAATATTCCTAAGATGTATCTATATATCAAATTTGAGTTGAATGTGTACAACCATTTGGGAGATAATGAACAGAACTAAGAATTTCTGATTTTTTTCAAAGTTCAAGAGGGATAACTCTGTAAGCTATCATCGAACCATGACCAAATTTGATCCTGACCAGTGTATTCTTCTGACATATCCATATGTTAAATTTGAGTTAAATATGTACAAATGTTAGGGAGATAATGAACCGAAACTGAAAATTTCCTTTTTTTCAAAGTTAAAAGAGACATTACACTGCCAGAAATATCATCGAACCATGACCAAATTCAAACTTGACCTGCGCATTCCTTTGACGTATCTGACATATCCATATGTCAAATTTGAGTTGAATGTGTAATACTGTTGGGGAGATAATGAACGGAAACTGAAAATTTCACATTATTTTCAAAATGAAAGGGGCATAACTCTGCCAAAAACCAGCGAAATACTGTGTAATAAATACCGTGTAATACCGTTGGGGAGATAATGAACGGAAACTGAAAATTTCATATTATTTTCAAAGTGAAAGCGGCATAACTCTGCCAAAAATCATCGAACCATGACCAAATTCCAACTTGACCTGTGCATTCCTTTGACATATACGTAAATATCAAATTTGAATTGAATGTGTATTACTGTTGAGAAGATAATGAATGGAAACTGAAAATTTCATCAAGGGGCATAACTCTGTCAAAATCATCGGACCATGACCAAATTCGAACTTGACCTGTATTTTCTCATGATAAATCCATATGTCAAATTTGAGTTGAATGTGTGCAACCGTTACTAAGATAATGAACGGAAACTGATGATGACGGAAGACAGAAGGATGGAATGACAGAATGATGGAACAGGGTAACACTATATGCCCCAGCCATTTTATGGCGGGGGTATAAAAAAGGGGCCCCTGGGGCAGTGTCAATATTGAACCAAGGGGAAAAATCCAGAGTTGTAAAGATCAATTAAAGAAATGCTTGAGATAAATGTCTATGCCTTATAGATATTGTAATTTCACATAGACTCATCTTAAATGTGTTTCTTATGTAAGTGAATATAAATTAAGTAATCTATGGGGTGGGGCCAATTTGACCTCGGGTAGTCCAATATATCAGACTTTCCAGGCTTGTTATAATTTATGTCTGTCAAGCCTGACGTTTAATAGTTATTGCTAAAATATAAATGCATAGCATCATATAAAAAATCAAAAATGTCTATTGTCTTGCCTTTCAAGCTTTATTCAAAAGTTTATGTTCTTTTCTTTCAATTTCATGCCCAATCATAAACAAAAACTCTCAAACAATGTACTTATCAATTTAAAATAAAATAAAAACATCAATCTAATTTTTTTTGTCTATTGGCTAAACGCGTATCTGTCTATTAGTAAGGCGCTTTACTGATTGACAGAAAAATATATTCAAACATGCGGACCGTGCATTTCGTTAAATAATATTCTGTTACAATTTTCTGACTCAGTTAAACGATTGAATATGAATCAGATTTCTCGCACTGTATGGCGGCCATTTGTTTATCAGCTGTATAAGGAATTTAACTACACGAGAAGATTTAATCATGATTTTTTGGATATGACAGTTTAATTATTTTGTTTAGAGGTATTTATTTTTTAGTTTTGTTCATATATAGGTCAAATGTTAACACATGCTGTCTTAATTGTTTTTTCGTTCCGCACGATTTTCTGGTGGAACGTGCTATGGGCAATTTCGATTTGACGTTGCTTTGCCCAGAAACAAAAATATCTCAAAGAGCAGTCATATTCTTGGAAAGCCCAAACCGTTTTTCTGCACAATGTCTTCTAAGTTTGAGCTAATATTTCTGACAAAAAGTTTTTAATTTCTTTTTTTTGATTCAAAAGATAGATCTACTGAGTGGGCACAAAATTTTGAAACTCCTACAAAATGACAAAGTGTGACCTTGACTTGTGAAAATTAAAACCTGCACTGTCACAATGTCTCATTATGGCAGAGACATAGATAACAGAGATAGGCAACTTCCTAACCAGTTAAAATATCACGTGTGCCTGCTTAACTTAAAACTTGTAGCAGGTAAAACTTATTAACCAGGTATCTAAATCAGGAAAAAAATACATTTCTGAAAGCTCATGCAATTGTCTATGGCTGCAGGTAAAAATATTTATACATGTAGTTCCCATTTAAATAAATGATAATCAAATTTTAAAAAGAACTACTTATTAATTTTTGTTACAAAACTATTCATATGACATAGAAACTGGCTTGGTGGGTATGTTCTGCTATGTTTTTCTAAGTGAGAGGCATGGAAAGGTACCAATATTTTAACATGCAGCAATAGATAAAAGATTTACCTTTCAAAAGGTATGTAATATTAAAGGATCAAATGTCCATCCATTAAGTTTTATTTGCTACAAAATGCCTAATTTTTCACTTTTTATAGGCATAAATGATATTTCAATGAGCTGCTCTGTTATCTATGTCTCTGATTATGGTTAACATTTCTGCCAAGCAGTTTCAATTTCCTTACACAGGTTGACCAGACACAAAATTTCTAACAGTCTCCATGTGCATAATTAAATACCCTGAAATTTCACGTGTACTACCACGAAGAAATGTGTTCATTCACACATGTGAAAATGGTAGAAATAATTTTATTGCTAATTAATGTGCTGAACTATTTAAAGGCCTACCCCAGAAGTATTCTTGTGCTGCCTCTACCATGTTTTCGAGCCGTTACTGTCACGTTCGTCCTACTCCTATGTCTCCTAAGCAAATGGCCAATATCTATAATATTTTGCTTTATCATTACATGTGGCATGATTTGCACGAGAAAAGCGAGATTTATACCAAATTTTCCCGCGTTTTTAACAGCGTTCTAGTTTGCTGAATATTTGTTTTATTTTCATTGGATTAAAAATGAATAAAATGTAAATGAAATAAATACTATATAATCTCGATAAATAACCATTAATTTAATTAGATATATAATATAATTCAATTACATCTGGTTTATTTCTTTATTTATTAAACTAAATAATTTTAATTTTAACCAATCAATCGGCTGAGATTCCGTTTGTTTACATTTGAGAGCTGACGTGGGCTTACCCGGCGAGTACACATCAACATTGAATTAATTCTGATGCAAGTTTTTAATATATATGGTCGTAAATCATTAAACCTGGTAATGGAATGAATCTGCTGGAAATATATTTTGAAAGTTAGGTAAGACCTTCTCTTAGATAGAGACCATTATACTAAATACTTATTTGTCATGAGTTTTCGCGTGATTTTTAAAAATATGACATGTCTTTTTTATACAGGAATAACCTTTCACATTTGTTAAATGAAATTTCAAATTGTAGTTGACGACAAAATTTTCAATTACCTAATAAATGAGTAACAAACACTTTACTTTGTGAACTTTTAATTAAATGAATTAAGTCATGAAATTGAGAATAATCACAGGGACCCAGCACAGTGTTTCTTTGAATTTGTTTTATCGACTTATTGCGGTTTGGTACTATGACATGGTTTGAAATTGCATTTTTACTCGTAGAAAATCAAGTGGGAACAGGTTACACGGTTGTGTCCGACCTAGCAAAAATACGATATTCTATCCGAAATATCAGTTTGTTGTTCAAAAACGGTGTAAGTCAGGGACAGTTATGTTATTGTCAATGTCTAGGATGTCATTTAGCTGCAATTTGATATATAGCTTTATATGATTGACGTAAAAATGACTTTGCAATTTTGACTTATACTGGACTAGTGGCATTCGGCCGATTTGGCAAGTTCAACCCCTTGCCTATATATTATATATACAGTATATATTTTTTTCTAGAATTACTTTTTTACACTATCCCAACACTGTGCTGGGTCCCTGTAAGAATAATAAATACTTTTTGGCTTTGTCATATGATGAGGATATTCTGTCAACTTATGGTCAGTGGATACAAAGTTATTGTATAACTACATGATTGTACATATTATTGTATTTCATTACTTTATTTTTCTTTTTCAGTTGTAATTGGTGGATGTCATCTGAAATTGAACAACTTCTCGGGCATGTCAAAAAGAATATTCCATCTTGTTCAAGCAATGAACACAGTAACTGTTATCAGTTTTGTGATATTTTGTCTACATGTATGCAGCCATCACGGTCTTGCTGAGAGTGAAAATGCAGCACTAACTATTGTTCAACAGGAAGATGATAATGGTAAGATGATTTGTTTGATTGTATATCAGTATTCAGTTGTCACTTCAAATGAAATAAGGACTTTGCCTGTCTTCTTAATACTTAAGTAATCCCCCTCCTGCACACGCTTCTTTACCAAAGACTGAAGCAGCCCTTCACTATACTGGAAGATTAGAAAAAGAATAATCATGAAAATATTTCTTTATGAAACTCTCAGATTGTGTTATAAATTATGAGCAAAAATACTGTCAACATGCTTAGCTGAAAAAGAAAGAGCATCAGATTTACAATTCTGGTGCTGCTAGTTTAATTCTCAGGAGAAGGAAAATACTCTGTCACAATTGACAATGTGATCTCAGTCTTTGAGTCTAATGGTCATTTATCTCTCACCTGGGATTAGTAGTTGGTCATTTGTAGAAAAATTGATCATTACTGGTTAATTATCCAGAAAAGCCAGTTTGGTGGACAAACCACCATGATATAACCAAAAAATGTGTTAAAGTCTGCCTTAAAACTACACAAAACAAACAGTATGCAAAAATTGTCTAAAACCACTGGATTAAATGAAATGGGAAAGAGTAAGCATGTAAAAATTAAAACTACTAGTTTTACTGATGAAAAGGGGAAATTGGTAGTTATAGTTTATACAAATGTATACATTTTTATGCAAATTGGTAACCAGTTGATTTGTGCATCATGGAACATTGTATATAAAGGCAGGCTGTATAGATCTATCTTACAGTCAGGAGTGGATCAGCATTTTGGTGATATTTTTGTAAGAGTATTAAAGTCAAAGTGTTCAAGTCATTGTGAAAGTTCTCAGAAATTAACATTTTTTTACTTTTGAATAGATTCACAACAACTTATATGCCTGTTTTAGGCTGTTTTATATTTATTATTTATTCTCCAGGAGTCACTGTAGAGGAGGAAAAAGGGGAAGATCACCAGATAAAGTGGTTTCTAATGATGACCCTTTCCATTCCTACACATGAATGGCAAGCTGTTAAAGAAGGTAAGACCACAAATAATGCATGCCATACATTGCATTAATCCACAAATTACACTGAGGGTAAAGTTACATAAATGGCTATGTCTGATAAATGGTTGAATTATTGCCATTGTTGTTTTGTCAGTGTTGTTATATTTATCTGGTCCTTCAAATTAAGTGTTGAAAATTGAATACCACTCGAGCGATGCTAGGGGTCATGAGGGATATTGTACTTCTTCAGTATTCGTGTTGTACAGACTCAGTCAAACCAAGTCTGCAATATTCATGTAATTTTTGATGTTTTTTAATACTTCAGTGCGTTCACCCTTTTTCCAGATTTTTGCGTTAAATGTCAAAGGTCCTTTTGTGCTCAAAATTTGGATATGAAAATTAACAGTTGTATGTAGGTACTAGCGAAAAATTTAACATTTAAGATACACATTATTTAACCTAAGATATGCTTTCATGTAACAAAAATTAAAGATTAAAAATCAGGCAATAACAGTCATTGAGTGATGGATTGCTGATAAATTTGTCTTAACCACAGTTTGGTGAAGCCTGACACTCAATACCCATGTACACACCTTCAAGGTTAAAGTTGCGGTTTTTTGTCAATGTTAAAAATATAGGTTTCTGCTTGATATAACTTTCATAATCCTGATGGATTTATGTCAAAATATTTGGCAGATATCTTCACTTGGGTCAAAGAGTGTGTTATATGCTACATCCAGGTCAATATTATACTTGGAGTTCAAAATGTCATATAGCTGTGGTATTTGTGTACTATGGACACTTTTCTAGTTCAAGAATTGCTTTATTTGATGTACATTTTTTTATTGACATTAAAAGGTCAGGCAATCCCAGCTGGACTTCATGTGCGTATGAACTTAGAGACAGGGTCAAGAGAGGCTAAGTTGATGGACGGGGAAAATGAATTCAAGTACTGGCAAGATGGTGATAGGCAAGGTAAAAAGTCACACCTACTTTTATGATTATTTTCTTATTTATAGCATCAATTATAACTACTTAAATCATACACCAAAGATATAAATGATAAATAAAAATCTCTTATGTCTGAATCAGCTGTAGATTTTGAATATTAAAACTTAATTTTTTTCACTGAACACAAAATTCTACATTCTGCTATTGTTTTACTATCAAGCACTGAGAAAAGTCAAGCATGCTATCCTACTAACAGCTCTTGTTCTGTATCACATCTATGAAAAAAACAACATGAGATAAGATATGATAATTATGATGACGATGCATATATTAATTTCTCACTTGTAGGAATGATGAATATGGATAAGAAACAGTTTTCATTGGAAGAGTTAAAGAGAGCATTAAAAGATTTCAAAACAACTGAACTAGATGACACAGATTTACAGGTATACTTTACAAGCTTGCAGCATAAAATAAATATGTTGAGTTTGTATATAATGTACTCATTAAAACAATACCTTTGTCAGCAAAATACCTTGACACATGAATACAATAAAAATCTCTTGGTTAGTTATATGTTAGATGGCTGGAAAAATACATCAGAAAGGTGAAGCCAGCTGTCAGAAATAATGAGCTAATGTTGTTACACAAAGATTAAATGTGATGATGAATTTTTGGCAAGTTATTCTGATTTAAAATACAGCTTTTGATTAGCTGACCTCAGATTAGTCATATAACAGATACAGGGTAGCCAAAATGTGATTGATATAGGTAACATTTGTAGCAATTTAAAAATCCTGAGCAAAGGAGAACTTTGTTGATTAAGTAGTTTCTTTTCTGAGTACTTTATATTGAATTGTCAGAAATCTGATCAGATTTATCATTTTGTATTTTATGATAGAAAAGTCACTAAAAGTGAAAAGTAGAATAAGTAATTTAAAAATTGTATACAGAATTGTTGGATAATTCGTGATCAGACACAACTTTTATTGCTTTTCTATGTCTCAGCAATTAAGAAATATTGTATATTAATTTTTTTTTTCATTTTTCTAATATAAAGCGCGAAGCTGAAGTGAAAAAGAAGTTCAAAACATATGAGGAACTCAAAAAAGATTTCAATGACATAAACATGGATATTAAAACTGACGGGGAAATCATTGAAGATATGATTGGAAAGTTAAGAGACAAAGATCTTGAGAGAGATAATCTGTTGACCACCTTAACAGACCTCGAGTACTATCTTCATCAGGTAAATACTTTAACAGTAGTTTACAGTGTTCAATCTAGAACAAATTCCCAGGGGGCCCTTCGGGCCCATCAACTTTTCAAAAGGGGGTCATTTGAGAAAAAAGGGGGCCCACACTTAAAAGAACATCAAATTCAAATAACGTATTGTATCTTTTAAGTTACTTGTTCACGTACCGTATATAGACCAAAAACGGTTGCAAAATTCCAAAAACAATCCACTCACTAAAAAAATGACATTATTTTGACTTTTTTTGAGAGTTCTGTTAGCGTTGATAATGGCTCAATTTTAAGAACTGATTGGTAAAGAAACGATGACATAATGTTCAAAGAAACATATGAATCTTATTTTAATGTCACCAGGGATATTTGATAATAATGTTCAGTTTTTTAATCAGCGCCCGATAAAAGAAAATCATATTTCCCAATTAGCTTTGTTGATGAAGAATATAAACTTACAATAGTCGCTAAAAACAT